CACCAAATCATCTCTCCAATCCCTAAAGCTGCATTTTAAAGAGATTTTCTTTTACTATGATATATGTATATATACACACATATGTAAAATTTTGTTTTTGAGACAGGGTTTCTCCGTGTAGCCCAGGCTGGCCTCGAACTCAGAGCTCAAGAGATCCACCTGCTTCTGTCTCTTGAATGCTGGGATTAAAGGTGTGCACTGCCACTGCCTGGCTATTTTTACTATGCTTGTTTGTGTATGTGAGGGTACAGGTGCCGGAGGACGCCAGTGGTCGCTGTCCCGAGGCTGGAGGAACAGGTGACATGAGCCTCCTCTCTATCCTCACGGCTGTCTTTGTACTACATTGTTAATGTTTGATCATGTCTGGCTATCGTTGATTCCTGTCTACCATTGAAGATGATCAGAGTATTTTTATTCTCTCAACAGGCACTTGGATGTCTCTAGGCTTTTCACTACGTGTCACAGTAGTTGAGTGTGTGACGATGGATGGTCCCTTGGCTTCTCCCTGCATACGTTTTTTAGAAGGTAGACCAACCAGGGGATTGCTGGGATTGGCGTGTTCTGAATGTCTGAGGCAATGCCTATTTATTTATTTTGCTGTTTTTAACAAGGGATAAACATTTTTTTATGTTTATAGAAACAGGTAAGAGTTTTATTATGTAGCCCAGGCTGTTCTCAAACTGGCAATCTCTCGTCTCAGCTTCCAGAGTGCTGGGATTATAGGCCTCTTCTTTACTGCATGTATCTTACACACTCTTACGAATCTTCTGTTAGATCTTCACTTTCGCTTCTAGATACCTTCTTATATACTTGATTTTATACTGCTTTTAAGGTTCAAAAAGTAGACTTTTGGCTAACACTTGTTTTCCAAAAAGCTTTTCTTACACACATCAAGCACAGTAAGCTGGTTTCCTAGAACTTAAAATTTGGCAATGTAATGCATGTATACCACCTTTAAAATGATGTCATACATATGGACAGTGTATTTCTATTAAATCCACCCAAACTTATACCCACCCCCCCCCCCACTGGCCTCTCCTTTTAAACTAGTCCTGCCTCCCAGGTTCATGTCTGTATGTGCCACCGAGTCCAGTCAGGGTTGGTTGACAAGCATGGGCAGGAGGACAACTTACCAGTGATCATGCCACTGAGGAAAATGACTCCTGCCCCCCACCATGCCGTTGCGTTGCCAGGAGCGGGCTCATAAGGCCCCCTCCTCGATACAAGGCCCATGGGACTGTTAATGCTGGTAACCACAGCTGCTGAGGCCTTACGATCGGAGCTGCCGTGGTGTCCAGCAGCTCCTGTCTTCCGTCCTCCAGCTGGAATATACTATCCTAGTTTGTCCTTCCCCTCAGCTGGTGTGTGCCTGGCATCATAGAAAAACCTGTACTTGCCAATCGCTGCTAGGTTCCCCAGACTTTTCATAACTCCTGTCCCCCAGGCACAGTAAAAGCAGTGTTCCTGAGGTGACTCGGATAATGAAAAACAACACTTCGGCAACTTTTAAGCATTACTCTCTTGGCGGGGAGAAACAATCCACTAAGTGGGTTTACAATTTCTTTTGCGGACTGTGTTTTCTCTGTTAAATTAGCCTTCCTTTAGCTCAATAAACCCTTATTTCCTCCAAGTATCAGGTGCATTCCCTCTGCCCCTGCAGACTTTATAGCTTATTTTCAAACCCACAAGCTTTGAAAAAACAACAAAGCCCCTACTCCTGAGCTCTTCCCTGAAAAATAAGAAATTGCTAATAAGCACAAGGACAAGGTGTCGGAGGCAGGTTCTGTCTGAGGCATTTGGAACTACATTATGCTGGACATCGGGGAGGCTCTCCTTTCTACACCCAACCACCCCCAAACTGGAGAGCACATTTCTTTTTGTTTTCCAAGACAGGGGTTTCTTTTGCGTTAGCACCGGCTGCCCTCAGATCTACCTGCTTCTGCAACCCCCACCCCATCAGCAGCAGTGTGGAGGCAAGAACACCGGGATTAAATGGCGTGGGTCACCGCCACGCCTGATGACCCCATTTCTGTCCCTGGAATCCACTAGGTAGGAGACGGCTTTGTACTGTGACCTCAAGTTCACATTAAAAAGTGTTTTGAACATTTATGAAATGTGTGCTCCAGGCTGTGTGGTGGTCACGAGGCCTTGACACAAGGCAACGATGTCTTCCCAACAGCCAGCTGGGTAATCCAGGTCTTAACTATTGTAGCAGAGTTGGCACCAAGGTCATGGTCTCCAGATCAGCGCGCACCCTTTAGTTCCCGAGGCCTGCTAGAAACCAAACACTTCCCCAAACCCCAGTGTGCTTCACCCCTGCCCCCCAACAGACCTGCTGAACCCACATAACATCCTAAGAGCACTCATCACGGGGTGCTCCTGACTGAATTCTTGGGTCAAGGTTAAGGGCCTGTCAGGCTTCCCCGTCACTGGACTTGACTGTTGGGAGGGGGGCTTAGGAGGGCGGGGCAAGCTTTAAACAGTTTATGCGGCTGACCGTGGTGGGACTGCCAAGCGTAGCCTGCAAGTAACTGCAAGCTGTCAACTGCAAAGGTCAGAGGTCGACTCCCTTTGCCTCAGCACCCAAGTGCTGCTGCATTTCAATTGCAAAGGCACAATTCCAATTCTCTCCCTCTCTCCTCTTTCTCACAGACACACACACACACCACGGCTGAACCCAACACTTTCCTAGTTTTGCATTCTATTAACAAAACAGACATGAAGCCTTGATTTGGGACAATTAGGGAAATAAGTTAAAAACAAATTTATTATTCAAATTCCAAGGGGGGTGGAAAATTTGAGGTCGCAAATCTTTCTTCATCTATTGGGCACTAGTCATAAAAAAAACCCAATAACTAGTAGCAGGTAAGTAATCACAATTGCAGAATCAAACTAGTTTAGCAATGTCTAATGTATATGGACAGCCAATTAGGCAAACGTGATAGGTCTCAGGTTATCATTTGTATGTTACTTGAATGAGATGACATCCTGCTTGCTGTCCATAGCTTAATTCTCCTTGGGTTGTAAATGAAGATGCATCATGGGACCACAAATGCATGTGTTTTTATTTCTCTTGAAACCCCCCCCACCACACTTTAATTGAATGCAGCTATTTGGGATGGTTTGTCCAAAAGGACTGGTAAAGGTAACCAGATCATAAAGAAGTCATAGAACAGTGCTTGGGGACTTTTCTCGCCCTCATCATTGAGACTCACTGCCTCCCATCATCAATATTTATTGAGCATTTACAGTGTACTAGGCACAATAGAACATACAGAAAACATTGTCCCTGCTCTTGAGGAGCTTACATTCTAAAGAAAAAAAAAACACACCTCTTTTAAGATGGCATTTTTGTTTGGTGTTTTCTGTAAGGTACTGAGGAAATACTCGGTAGGGTGTGAGCTTTGGGTATGACTGAGCCCCATCTTTACTTGAGGAAGAGGAAGGGTTTTTAAAAGGAGACAGACCATTCGGGGCAGGATTTCCAGGGAGATAAACACTGGCTCAGCCGAGGAGAGCTGGGCTGTAGGAGAGGATGAGGGAGGCTGTGGGGTGCAAGCAGAGGAAGCGGGGGTCTCAGACACTGAGTGGAGCCAGAAAGATCATGCGGCCTTTTCCCCAAATACAGGGCCAACAAGTCGGAATAGTTGGTGACAAGACAGTAAAAAGGGAGTGATCCTGTGCACCTGGAAATCAGAGCGTCATGAAACTCTTAAAAACCAACAGCAATTCGGAAGCACAAAACTCAACAGGTAATGCTGCCCAGTGTTGCAACGGGCCACGAACATTGTGGCTTCCTAAGTCAGAAAACGCCATAGACTGAAGTTTTAAAGGGGGCACATTACCCTTTGCCAACCAATCTCCCCAACACCCAGAAAAAGAAAAGGTCCACGTCAAGCTTGGAAGGAGGTAAGAAGGAGATGGATCTGGGAGATGGTTGAGAATGGTAGTTACATTAGCGTTTTTTGTTGTTGATAACTTTGCGTTCAAAATTGGTAAAAGCCCATTAGCTGCCACGAGGGAATGAGGACACAATTTCCTTTAGCGAAGTCTCAAAACCAAACTCATTTACATGAAAAGCTGTAGAGAAAAGTAGTTGAAAAATCCATTCATAAAACTTTTATTCCACTTACATGAACTTTAATACACGTGTTCTTAACAATTATGCTTGGGTTGTTCATGAAGATTTCCTAAGACATTAAAACAAAGCTAGCCGTAATCTCAAGTCATTTCCCTGTTAACTATTTTTACAGCACATGCATGTTAGGCAAGTATCAAAAAGAAAAAAAATCACAAAAGCAAAAAACAAAACAAAAAACTAAAAAAAAAAAAAAAAATTAAATACATGGGGTTTTGTTTACCGCTGTGCTTGACACACATGGAGCAGTGAACACCAAGCAATTCATTTTTACTGCATCTTTAACTTTTACATTTGTTCTTAGATCGCCTAAAACATTTAAATACAAATAAAATGTGTAGCAAAAATAATGAAAGCAAACAGCAGGTAACTTTACAAATAATGGAATGTGAACCGTTTCTGCCCTTGTCAGAGTAAACTGGGTCACAACTTTGTCTAAGGACCACTTCCGGAGCTGTGGTCAGAGTGCACGCAGAGACACCGGGTCCCAAGGTGTATCCAAGGGACATCTGTTTGTACCACAGCATTACAAGTGCTCCAAACCTTAAAGTACCCGCAACAACTACACTCGTGACTGGAACCAATTATCCCTTTATTCCCACCAGCACAAACCAGTATGTAGGCAGTTTTCTTTGCTTAGACATGGAAGCAGTTTTAACCCTGGCCCTTCTGAAGCCACAATGTACAAAAGTACTATGCCAAACATGTGTAACTCGTGTAAAAATTCCACTTCCCCAGATTGGCCACCTCAAGATGAAAACGAGTAACTCCCTAAAGTTAACTGGCTCTACTCCCCTAATATTAAACATAAAAACCACATGGGAAATATAGAAATTCAAATAGAAGTAACATAAACCTGTCATAAATCGTAAACAAAAAACTATTTGTGGGACAGCATGGATGACAAACGGTCTACTGTGTAAATTTTAGAGTGAGGCAGACAAAGGCTGGAAGTTAATTTTCCCCTCCTTCTCCTGCTTCCGCTTCGTCTCCTTGGGTGTCCGATGTCCACAACTGTAAGAGAGGGGAAGTTTTTCAGCGTGCTTCAGATTGAAACAGAAAAAAACAAGAATCCCTTTCTTGTAACATGCCAAGGTGCTGGCATGTGACCTCACACTTCCCTCAGAAAGCTTAGAAAGGATCCCTGAAACCAGCCTGGCCTTGCACTGTCTTTCACAGTCACTAGAGGGAGAGGCAATCCCACTCTGCAGTCCCTATGCCAGTGCTTGCCAAGCCGACCCCAGTGGAAACCCCCTCCGCAAGCTAGGCTCTCAGCCCCAGAACACACAACCCAGTTTTCAACTATTAGAAACCAATACTCTACCACCAACGGTTTCCTGTGCTTTCTAGGAAGGCTGTGACCAGAGAGGGATGGATGGCCCCGATGAAGACACGTCTAAACGCAGCGATCAACTGATCGCAAGCGTATCCTAGACTTGAATGGATTCAACTGAAGAATGGGGAAAGCAGCCCAACCCAACAGTGTTGGTGTTCTCAAGGCAGCCTAATGTGTGGCCCAGAAGGCAGAGTCTGAGTCAACCAGAGGCAGATGATGGGCGCAGCCTGTGTGCCCCAGCTAACTTCTCTACTGTCTTCCTCATGCAAACTACAAGGCTTCAGGACTCTGCATAAACATCACAAACTAGAGATGTGACACAGACAGCTTTCTGGTAAGGCACCCACCTCACCGGCCAGACAGCACCAGGGCCAGCTCAGAGCAGAGGCCCCCCTCCTTACTCCTGTACTCACTCGCCCACAACTCCAGAAGTGACAGCATCAGTCAGGAGGAACACAACCAGACCCAAGATTTACTCTAAACACCACCTCCTCACGTCAGAGAAGAAAGCAAAGTCGACACTAAGTCTTACATGTTGGCCCAGAATTTGTGTTTCTCCTGTCTTGGCCTCACACTGATGTTTGGGAAGGTGTGTGTGTATAGTGTTGTATGTATGTATGCATATATGTATTTTAGCAGTACTGAGGATTAAATTCGGGGCCTCGCATACATGGGTAAGTACTCTCTCAATGAGTCAAATCTCCATCCCCCAAATATTCTTCCCCCCCCCGAGACAGGGTTTCTCTGTGGCTTTGGAGGCTGTCCTGGAAGTAGCTCTTGTAGACCAGGCTGGCCTCGAACTCACAGAGATCCGCCTGCCTCTGCCTCCCAAGTGCTGGGATTAAAGGCATGCGCCACCAATGCCCGGCTCCCCCAAATATTCTTACTATTAAAAAATTAATGAGTCAAATGATTCATTATTTAACATATTTTCTTTCTTTTGGGCTGGAGATACAGCTCCTGTGGTAAAGCGCTTTCCTAGTGTGTAAGAGACCCTGAATTCTATCTGCAGCACACAGAGCAAGTCTTCAATCCTTACTTCTTTCATTTAATCTCTTAACTGTATAGGTGACCGCAAATGCATTTACTAAAATACTTCTGGTTGTTTGGAAACGTAGAAGGGAGTAATAAGTCTGTGAGGCAAATGGCCCTAAACTGAACACACACAGAAACACTAGACTTTCTTCTACCTTTTCCCCGAGACAGCACACACTGAGTAGCTTTTCACCTAAGCCTCAAAACCTCAAATTTAATACTGATCTGAAGGGAAAACCTAAGCAGCATAGGCTTTCCTTGGATCCCAATTTAAATAATAAATAAAAACCACTGAGAGGAACCCTCAGTTTAGTTCCTCTCAGAGGCCAGGGCCACACCCAGCTCCTGCCGTGTAAACCACAGCCATACGAACAGGAGGGCTGAAGGACAAGAAAACTAACTTCAAATACAGACAGTCCCACATTCACTTTTAAATCACTATGTGGTCCAGGCTACCTTCTAACTTAAAACCCTTCTTTCTCCACCCCAAGAAACCAGATGGGGTTTACTTGGAACAAACTCTGGGACAAAAAGGAAAATACTCAAGACCTCAAACGGAGACAAATGACTATTGAGAGCCCAAGTCCAAATAACAATGCATCAGACTTCTAGCAATGTGTTTTGAGTAAGGCAGTTTCAGCAGTAGCTAGGACCTGTGCTTAGTGATGTTAGAGATGGTAAACACTATGAAGTACAGACTCCGTCCCACCACACCCAGCACTGACAGTGCCTGCCGTGGGTACTCACTGTCAAGTTGTCTCTCAGTAACTGCATTATTAGCGTGCTGTCTTTGTACGACTCTTCACTTAATGTATCAAGTTCAGCAATGGCTTCGTCAAAAGCCTGCAATTGCAAAAACAAAGTACACTTCAGTACCAGGTCATGAAGAATGCTAATTCCCTCCTGTGCAACAGGCTAAATACGTACTGTTTTTGCAAGAGAGCAGGCTTTCTCTGGGGAATTCAGAATCTCATAATAGAACACAGAGAAGTTAAGGGCCAGACCCAGTCTGATAGGATGTGTTGGCTGCATTTCCTTTTTGCTGATTTCAAATGCTTCTTGGTACGCTTGCTGTGACTGTTCCACAATTCCTGGGCAAAGGAACACAATAAACACACTTTCAAGCTCTGCGCTCCAGTTTCACAGCAGGCAAACCTTTCATTTGAAACAAACTTAGGCAAATTAGGCTCTTTTATTTAAAACAAACAAAACGGTGCCCCGGATCACACTGGAGACTTGCTACCGGGGTGGGAGAATAAGAGCACTAACTGCTCTTTCAGGATACCCGGGTTCAGTTCCCAGCTCACAACACTAACTCCAGTTCCAGGAGCACTGGATGCCCATGCAGACAAACACCCGCACACACGCGCACACACTTCCAGTGGTTTCGTGACAGAAGGCAGACCAAATAAACAACTCTACACATCCACCTCAGTGCCGCCAGCAGTACAAAGGGAGGTGAGGACTTCCACAGGTGAGCAGTCACAGCCACTGTACACAGCTTACCCTTCTTGTCATCACCAGCAGCAACCTCAGCCAGGTAGCGGTAGTAGTCGCCCTTCATCTTCAAATAGAAGACTTTGCTTTCTGCTTGCGAAGCATTGGGGATCAAGAACTTTTCCAAAAGAGACTTAAGGAAAAACAAACAAACAAAAAAACCGGAAATAGTTAACAAAACAAAGTTAGGAATATTTCTTAAGCAAACACTTATAGACTAAGTTGTCAAAGATTTCAAAACAAAATCTTCATTTTTCTAATAACCTCACAGCCCAGAGGACTGCCATGAATCTTGAGGCATGCCTGGACTAAACAGACTGCCTCAAGGATACCAATGAGTAGACCAGGGCAGGGAAAAGGCTACAGATGTAAAACCTTTAATTCCACCACAGCAATTTTTAAATCTACGATCATTACAATAATAAAATCTCATTCTGTAGTTTTGCTTTAAAACCATTAGCAACTTGAAGCGCACAATACAATTGCCCTGGAGGCAGAAAAGTAGGCCTGAGTAAATAAAAATCACCCTCACCACACCAATTTTCCTTTTGGCAATCATTACTCTGAAAATCAAAATGAAGTCCATTTTCAGCTGGGCTGAACCCCAGGTAAGTCAATTCTTACAGGGAGACAAGGTACCTAAATTCTGGTTTTTATTCTTTGAGAAGACTTGAATACTTAAACATCTATGTTCAAATGATGGGCGGGGACACACACAATCTGCAGCTCTTATGTGTGTTGAAATAAAGGTCATAAACACAGGAACTTAGCTGGGCAGCAGTGGTGCACACCTTTAATCGCAGCATTTAGAAAGCAGAGGCAGGTGGATCTCAGAGTTCGAGGCCAGCCTGGTCTACAGAGGGAGTTCCAGGACAGCCAAGGCTATATAGAGAAACCCTGTCTCGAAAAACCAACAAAAAAATACAACAACTTAGGAGTGACTTTGCTTTTCATGATGTAAGTTAGGCAGCCAGTGAGGGCACCCTATAATCCCAACACGGAAGAATTCTGAGTTCAAGCAGAGTTTTAGGTTACATACATGGAGACCCTGCCTCAAAAAACAGCCCCATCTCCCCAAATAAACACAAACCAAAGGGTTGGAAATATCTCAGTGGTCTTGCATAGCCATGCAATAAATCCCCAGTGTGTGATATGAAAATGTAAAGCAAGGTGTTGATAAATGTTAATGGCAGTTAGCTGGGTGTCAGTGGCGCACGCCTTTAATCCCAGCACCCAGGAGGCAGAGGCAGGCGGATCTGAGTTCGAGACCAGCCTCCAGGATAGCCTCCTAATCAATACAGAGAAATCCTGTCTCGAAAAACCAGTTAATGGCAGTTTGCAGCCTACTTTTTTCTTAGTAACTCTATACCCCTAACAACTTCTTGGGAATTGCACTAACAGATAAGCACCACTTCCCCAATCTGAATACCGGAGAAGGCATCAAACGTAAACATTAACCAGAATAGCAAGGCTTGAGGAGGACCAAGTATGAACACTATTAGCAAATGACAAACTGTCGACATTAACATAGTGGTAAGCATAAACGGCACACTTCTATTTAAACCTTCCAATGGCATACAATTAAACTTACAACAGCTTTGGCTCATAATGTTGCGCATTATTGTGGCCTGTACCACTTCCTGGTCATTCCTAAGTGAAGTAACAGGTCCCTCTCCTTGTTCCTTGAGTGCGGGCTAGACGTGCTGACTGGCTCTGAAGCAGCAGGTGCCAGCTCAAGAGATTGCCGGTCGTGGTCTCTGCTGTCCTGGTGAAGAGACAGGCTGGAGAGCTGTCCAGCCACGCCAGAGCAACCGACCAGTGAGACAGGACTCCAAGGCCAGTCGCCATCGGGGTTTGTATTCAACAGTACAGTGCAGGGCAACCATCTTCAGTACATGTTTCCTGTCTGAGGCACACACTACAACTGTTCAGAAACCTGAGCGCTACCATGGTGTAGTTCCTCTGCTTCAGTGAACAGTGCCATGTTCACTGAAAACGGTAACCAGCACAACCAGAAGCCAAAGTTAGAGCTGACAAAGTCTGGAGCCACACTGTGTCTGTGTGACCCCGTCTGGGCTGTAGCTATGCATCAGGACGGGCACTGAGGAACTGGAGAAAGGGAAGACCAGCTAAATGCAAAGCTCATCTGGAGGCCTATAAAGGCAGCCTGATGGAGGTAGCCTGGGCTACACGATGACTACCCCCCCCCTTACCATACCCAAGACGACCAGTTAAATCCCTATGAGGAAAATCCCACACATAAGCAGACTAGTGGACAGGTGCTGGGTGGAGTTTTCCTCCTCTGTAATTCAAAAGGATAACTTGGTTTTTGAAGAGATTAAAAACCAACACATCGTCAAATCTCAATGTACTGCATGGGGTTAACACAAGGGGCGAGCAACCACCAAAGTGACCAGAACCCATGCCCCTCCTCAGTGAGCCACGGCGACCACATTGCAGCAGACAGACTCGAGAGCAGACAGCAGGCAAGGGTGGCTTTGTGAACGCGCACACTGAGGTCCCGGGGGAACATGCAACACAGTCCCTCAACTTTGTTCTCTTAGAAAGCACGCAAGGGATGAAAACCTGGTTTAGGAGGAGGATAAGGTCTGAGGAAGCACGCCACATGAAGACTCACATCCGCAAAGTGTGCTGCCAAGCTCGACACCCTTTGCCCTCGCTAAAACTTGTTGGAACACAAGATTACAGCCCCGAACGTTTTCCGGAGCTCTCATTCGTCAGTGTAACACACTTCCTCCCTGAAGTGACTGCCTTACTTCATTTCCAATGTCTTACCAATCGCGGCTTGTCTGCCTAAAGCTCTCTGACATCAGGAGCCAGCCTGTGAACAAAAGCAACTAGCTTGAGCCACAACAGCCACACACCTGCCTTTCTGGACACAACCGTAGGGTTTCCAGTCAAAGCAGCAATAGCCAAAATCATCTGAAAAAGTCACAATCTACAAAAGGCACCACCATGTATTGGGGCATTTCTCACTACTCTAGTTCCAAGGATGACACACTTTTATTACTCTTTCCCGTGAGTGCAGAGCAGTAAAGGACACGATGACCATGGCATGCACAGTCCCTCCTTGCCTTGCTTCCCGATGAGGGAGCTTAGCTACTGTTTTCTTACACAAGAAACGCTCACGTCAAAGGAGCAGCGAGGCTGGAGACAGCTGGGCTCTGCACTTACAATCACAGGCTGCTTCCAAAGGGCCCAGGCTCAATTCCCAGCACCTACATGGTAGCGTCTTAATTATTTGTAACGTGGGTTTGAAGGGATTTGTCTGCCCTCCAAGGACACTGGGCGTGTGCATGGTGCACAAGCATGCTTACAGACACCCCCCCCCCCTCGTCATGCCGGCACTGGACCACACTGCAGGTGATTAACAAGTCTCTGCGAGACATCTCTTAAGAGCTGCTCATCGCAAACTCCAGCCACCGCTTTTCACCATCCACCCTACCTCAAAAGAAGAGGAAATCAAACATTTCTCTCTCTCTTTTTTTTTTGGTTTTTACGAGACAGGGTTTCTCTGTATTGTTTCGGAGGCTATCGGTCCAGCCCGGCCTCGAACTCACAGAGATCCGCCTGCCTCTGCCTCCCGAGTGCTGGGATTAAAGGCGTGCGCCACCACCGCCCGGCACAGCCCAACATTTCTAACCACGGGCATGGACCTAGGACAAGAAGAGCAGCGAAGACCAGAGCTGGACCACACGAGGCGGGAACGTGGTGGGGAACCAGGTTTGGCTCTAACCATCACCAATACACAAAGCGACAAGTCTGCACCCCTTCACTACGTTAATTTCCAGACTTCCATTTTATCCCAGGAATGTCTCTCTAATACACTGTCTCCCATTTATTACTAACCCTCAGATTCCCTTGAAATTCAAGCGCACCCCCCTCCTTCTTAAAGCAAGGACATTTAGAGCATACATCTTCTGACAAAGTAATAATCAAAGTTTACCTTAAAAATCAACACCAGATACTTTTAAAAACAGTCAAGCATTGGTGCAGTAACAGGACATCAGCACAAGCTTTCCAAGGGTGACTAAGACTCCTAAACACAGCCTGATTGCAAACAAGGAATTACACGTGCAATCAATCAGGAAAAGTGCCAAACCAGGAGGAGCAGACGGCTGGCCCAACTTTAAGGACGAGTGAGATATGTAAACATGACAGTTCAGTAAGAGTTCTAGACTATCAAACAGTTTGTGAGCAACTTTGTTAGACTCCTGGTTAAGATCTTTATTAAAGTTAGCTGGACTAACTTTAACGTGGCCTCAACAAATGCGAGTGACAAAGCATCCAAAACCCATTCCTCTGCTTTAGAGTGAGCCGTCTGTCACGGGAAAGCTATAGTTTCCAAGCACAATGCAGCTCACACGCTCGTCCTCGCAATTCTTTCTGAGTTTCCCAACACTTTTACTCTATTCTGCAGGCCTACGGAACGTCACTATTTCCAGTTCTCCTAAAATCTGACATAAAAAGCTAACTAATGAAGGCACTGTGAATTTAGTCTCTTACTCCCCCTTGTGGCCGAAAAGTGGCTTCAATTCCCTTCTGAATTGTAACCACAGTAACTACAAACCAATTTAGTAAAGTGCTCACAAAACTGTTAATGGCACGGTTGGTGACTAGAGCTTGTTTTAATGGAAACTTACAGGCATTCTAACGACACGCTTACCACCTATGCTGTTTGGCTTCCTACAGTAACCTCCAAGTGTTGTATGACGGCGGTCTCAGAAGCAGCTGCTACCTTTAAAAGCCGGATGTGACGGAATGAAGGGTGACGAGAAGGCGGTTTCTGACCACCAACTGCAATGCACCTCCAACAACAAGCACACAGCAAACCTTTATTCACGGCAACAGAGATCTGATAAAGTAACCCATTGAGTTGGGAAATGCTAAGGTCACCCTAAAATAAGAGCATTTATGCCAAAAATTTAATAAGCAAGATGTCTACAGTTTTAAGGCTTGACAGATACATTTTATAGGGTTTTTAACAGAGAAAGAACTGAGTGAAGGGGTCACTGTTTTCACAATCCTGTGACAGCGTTAACGCTCAGGCAGGAGTATCTACAGAACTACAGAATGAGACCCTGCCTCAAACTAACTAACCCCCACGCACAT